GGAATCTTGGGTGTGATGTGTTGTGGTGGGATGTGTGTCGTGGTGTTGTGTGTGTTGTGCTGTGTGTGTGAGTAGTTGCGGAATGCGTGCGCGGGTGGTGCGTGTACCGTGAGTATGCGTGCAGGGAGTGTATGTGTGTGTGTTGTGATGGTGTGTGTTGTTTGTTGTGTGTGTATTAGTGTGTGTGTGTGCTGTGTATGTGTGATGTGTGTGTAAGGTGTGGTGTGTGTGTGTGTGTGTGTGTGTGTGTGGGTGTGTATGTGAAGTGAAGCAACATGTGTGTGTGTTTGTGTGTATTGTGTGATGTGTGATGTAGTGTGTGTGTGTGTGTGATGTGTGGTGTGTGTGTGTTGAAATCATGTGGGGTATGTGTAATTGTGTGAAATGTGTGATTGTGTGCCCATGTGTGTGTGTGTGATATGTTGTGTAGGTGTGTGTGTGTTGTGCGTGTGTGTATGTGGTATGTGTGTGTCGTGTGTTGTGTGTGTGTGCTGTGTGTGTGTGTATGGTGTATGTGGGATGTGTGTTGTGTGTGTGTGTGACTGTGAAATGTGTGTGTGTGTGTGTGTGTGTGTGGGCGTTGGTGTGTTTGTGTGTGTAGTGGGTGTGATCGTGTGGTGTTGTGAGTGGAAAATGTGTTGGGTGTGTATGTGTGTATGTGTGCGTGCATGCTGTGGGCGGGCGTTGGTGCGTGCGTGCTGCGTGCGTGAGGTGTGGTAGTGTGTGTGTGTGTGTGTGTGTGTGTGTGTGTGTGTGTGTGTGTGTGTGTGTGTGTGTGTGTGTGCGTGTTGCGTGCGCTGTCTCCATGGCACGTGGTGTGGTTCATCTCTAAAGACACAACCCAACCACATGATATTGAGGAAACTGTTTTAAAACAAATATTTTCTGTCTGTTGTATATTTAATCGACGCAATAAGGTGTTTTCCACGAGAGGCGTTCATTGATAGAATAACTGACTCGACTAAAGTAGTAATATTGTGATTAAGTATATTCTCACTCAGTGTGGGAGGTCAGGACTGGTGCGTTATTGTTGCTATTTGCTTCAGGAACCTGTTACTTCCGCCTGCATGGGCGTAAATCCAGAGCCATGTGTTAACCAGTCTAGACACCCGAGGTATTCCGACCGCTCGAACAAGTGCGAGTCAAACTGTAAACTAAAATTAATAATCTACGGTGTAACAATTTTTCTGTACACATTTTTCCTGTAGGCGAACTATTGCTGAACTGAAGGCTAACTATTGCTGGAGTATTGTATAGTATTAGAAAAATATGGCAGTTTAATAACAGGTAGCTTAATTGTGTGTAAAAGGCTATCTGAATGCTTCTTCGTAGTTATATAGTCAAATACAGATATTGAATTTTGATTTCCTGGTTTCATCGTCCATAACTAGTCGGTGGCGATGACAGTCAAATCCATGTCTAGAAATCAACCCCGAAGATAGTGACCATACGGACATCACGAACGCACAATGTTATCAACCCAGCTATTTTTGACCCACCACGTAAAGTGTAAGTCGATAGTCGTACAGGCAAGCAGGAAAACTCGGATGCCACCGGACACGAGGGGACATTCTGTTAGCCAGTTGATTATGCAAGTATAAATGTCCTGCAATAGAGACGGCTAATGTGTTTGGAGATATTCATGGGTGCGGGTGTCGGCCTCACACCGCGGTGTCATGTCGGAAGGATGCCGTCATATTAATCAGAACGAAGGACGGAAACGGGAGAATGCATATGACGGCTGACTGATTAGTCTTGCGTGTGTGCTCTTGCGTGTACGCGTGCGGGCATGTTCTTATATGCGCGTGCATAGGCGCGTTCACACGGCAAGAAATATCGGGGTATTTACCCGCGTATAGGCGTTAACTCGGCTGCGGCCATACGTCAAAACCGTACCAGCTAGATAGCATTCAACTCATGTAGCTTAATTGTCCGAGTGCATATCCGGCAACGGTCAACTCAGTTGCATATTCACACGACAAAAAGCACGTACATACGCTTACGCGTACAGGAATACGTACGCGAATACGTATACGTACACGTACACGTACGCATACGCATATATATATATATATATATATATATATATATATATATATATAGCGCACGAGTGGGCCTTCGGATTAGTGAACCTTCGGACTAGTGGGCCTTCGGACTAGCGGGAAGTCACCATAGCAGCGCATATACAGCTATGAGTGTGTTGCCGTGTGACCGGGGCTGGTGTGCAATAAATACGCGTGTGTGTGCGTAGTGCTCACATGATTATGACGTGTAATAGTAAAATCCCACTATTATCTCAAAGATAAGGATGTCAAAGATAACGTTGGATGGAAAAGATAATGATGTAGAAGACAATTCACTACTTAAAATGCACTGTAAATATTACACAACATGTATATACTCTGACGTGCATATATAGTAATATTTTATATTGTAGATAAGAAGATATAATATTAAATACATAAACATTGATACTTTGGTAGTAAATAATTACAGTATAAAATACAGTATTTATATTCATTATCATGATTTAATTTTATATTTGGAAACCGCCAGTGGCCGCAGCCTGCATTGAAAGTGTTATGTACAATACATCATGTATTATGCAATAAACATTGCGTAGAATAGCCGATCTCAACTAGACAAATAGTAATGGTGGATTATACAAACAATTATGATTATGCATCTGTATTTTATTGCAGATAGCAGTAGTTACGAGTACACTATAGTAGTTACTAGTACACTATAGTAGTAGCTAGCACACTATAGTAAACTATGAACTTCCCGTAAAAATCCCGTGAAATAACAGTTGAGGTAAAATCAATCTATTACCACATGCTGACTGAACACATAGGTAACCAATGTTTAACATGTTAACAACAGGCACTTGGAACGTTTCAATAATAATTATGATGGTGAATAAACACGAAATGCATTTACTACCAAAGTCGACATGTTTCTCTACTCTCTTTCGTCGATTATTGCCGACAATTTCCACTAAATGCCGTTCAAATGCTCTGTGCAACACGCAAGTACACCGCACGCACACCGCCGTACACAAACAACAAAATTATAGAGTTATCTAGAGACTCTATATAGACTCTATAGGGACTCTATAGAGAGAGAGTACTATGGAGACTATAATTTTGTTGAGCACAGCAGCGTGCGGGCGGTGCACTTAATTGTGTGTTGCACAGAGCATTTGAACGGCATTTAAAGGAAACTGTAGACAATTATAGGCGAAAGAAAGTAAAAAAACATTAAGACTTCCGTAGTAAATACATTTCGTGTTTATTTACCATCATTTTATTATTGAAACGTTTCAAGAGCCTGTGATGTTTACTATACGCTTAAGAATGTAAAAATATCTTAACATCTTCTGAATATTCATATGTGTTTTTATTTTCCCGTGTACTGATAGCATGGGATTTTTCGAAGATTATTTACCTAACCTTTCGATTATCTGATATATGCGTTGTCAGTAATGGTAGTAGTTCCTGCATCGCTGAAAACAATTGCATCTTCGGAGGTTGTGACACAATTTTCGTGACGCTACCTGGTTTTGGGCTACAAAAATCGGTTGAACATTCGTATATATATTATATATTGTCAGAAATTTATTGAAAGCCTTATATATGGCGCGGTAAGTTCAAGGATGAAATAGACACCAAAAAGGTGGATTTTTGGTGGCTTTACCAAACAGATGATTTGTAAGTTTTAATCGCTTTAATGTCTTAAAGAAGTGATAAATGTTCGGTTATTTACATCGAAATATTAGGGTTATAAGGGTTCCGTACATTGCAATTGAATACTGCTCGTGACCATTATGAAATTGTTTTACTGTCCATACAAAACGCATGACGTCTTTATTTGTTTTTATTTCTGAATGTAGGCATTAGGTAACCACGAATTTGACGATGATATCGAAGGAGTTGTTCCATTCCTTCACAACAATTCCTTTGCCGTCGTCAGCAGCAACATCGACGCAAGACATGAACCCAGCATGCAGGGATTGTAAGTGAGCTGTATAGTGTATACGCCACACTGAATATGCCTGCGTATGCATGATAACGATTATAGTTATTTATATCTTTATTTATCCGCATACCATATACACTTCACTGTCACACTATACACTAGTGTCCTCATCTCCAATTGATTGACTTTAAGAGTAATTCACACAGGTCATTACATATATCTTATTATCGCTCTGTTATCTTTCTCCGTTGAGCTCCCGTGATCGGCTACTGACTCACGAGTCCTGCAAAGCGACCCAGCAAGCTCCTTCATGTGTACATAACTACAGTTTACACACACTATACGCGTCACGTGGAAAACGTACAGACACGTAGCAAAAAAACGTACCAGCTTTAGATCCATCGAACCGTGGTTACACACCATCTATATTATCAGGAGTGTATAATATAGAGTATATATAAGAAGTGTATATATAGGAGTGTATCCCAGCAAACACGGAACATTCTCGTAACATTCGCTGGAGGTTCTAGTTTGGTTACATTAGCCAAAAATATTCTAAGAACATTCCCATATCGTTATGCATTTATTGGTTTTACTTGGTGAGAGAGTTATGTTCTTGGAATGTTCGGAAAACGTTAACCTTCCTCGGATATGGGTTCGAAACTCCTAATTGTCGTTTTTGTGATGTTGCAAATTATAGCACTGGTATCAAATGTATTTTTGTTCGCAGTGGCTACGGGGACGGTAGCCGTATCTTAATGTCTCGAGGCTACGGGTACGGTAGTCCATTTGCGCATGCATCGCTTTTCCACAAAATAATGTCGTTCACTAGCTATTAATTAATCTCCAGCCTAAGTAATTAATTAATTAATTAATTATTAATTAATTAATAAATTAGCTAGCCTACACTAGTTGTTTGGGATTGATTGTCAGTTCAGAAACAGTTCAGTTCAGTTTGTTATTGAAAGCCAAAGATTATATACACCATAGATTAATTTATCTGTGTTTAGATGCTATCATATACGACTCGAGTCGCTTTATAATTTGTGTTAAGGGTGAGTGATAGGGATAGTTATACTGTTTGTACTTGTGTGTGTGTGTGATGGTACTGCCGTACTGGAGACATTAAGATAAGACTGCAGCGCATACGTAGTGTTGCTGCAGTTAATATGTCATTTTCGGAAGTTGATCAATGTTATGTGAATGTTTGTAAAAACGTTCTCATGCAGAATGTCAGGAAAACTTTCCTAAAACACGTTATTAGAACGTTACTGAATAATGTTCTGCTAACCTAAAAGAAACAGTCCCATAACATTCAAGGAACATAACTTTGTTAGCTGGGATAATATATACTCTATAATTATACATTTCTGATATTATGACATATATACAACGCATATGTAAGCCACTGAATATGAGAGGAGACTCACTTACGCATATTTCAAGTCAAGTAGCGACGTTTGGGATATACAGTTGCTGTATATGGGATATACTTGATTACGAATCTAAACTGAATGCACTATAAAAGCGAATCAATCAAGCATGGAAATGTGGTGTGCTAGTACCTATATTAAAAATACACAGGGAGATATATGTATCAACCATACCTCATGGTAATGATTATCAAGCTAGCTGATATTTACATATTATTTAGATTTACTAGTTCGACCATACTGAGTTTGACAGGAAACCAGAAAGTAGGGATTGTTGGATACACGACGAGAGACACCCCTATACTCGCCGCAACAGGTAAATGTGTATGATGGCGTAATTTTGTAATATATCAAGAACAACAAATTAGATAGTTATATATATATATATATATATATATAGAGAGAGAGAGAGAGAGAGAGAGAGAGAGAGAGAGAGAGAGAGAGAAGAGAGAGAGAGAGAGAGAGAGAGAGATAGATCGAATATAAATTATGTATTTCAAATTGGAATATTGTTTAAACTTAATATTAATATTGAACTCAGGAAATCTTATATCCAAGATGCTCCATCGAATCCCGTACAAAACGAGGCCAGGCTTAATTGCCGAAGGAAGGTTTAATAAATTTTTGCAACTTGGTCATTGGCGGTTATTAGCTCTCGACATTCGAAATGCCGAGTAAGGTTGAAAAAATAGAGTTATCGTTGGGACACACGCACTACGTTTTCATGGAAAGGTAAACTATATTTAGTGTACTACACTATAGTCTATTCTATCTATGCTATCATACATCCTATATCTAATATGTATATGCTTGTGTGTGTGTTGTGTTGTGTGGCATGTTGTTGTGTCGTTGCGTCGCGTGCTTGCGTGCGTGCGTGCGTCGTTGCGTGCGCGTATTGGTGTTGTGTGTGTGTGGTCTGGTGTGTGTGAGTGTTGTTCTGTGTGTGTCTGTGTGTGTGTTGTGTTGTGTGCATTCGTTCCTGTGTGTGCGCGTGTGGTTGCGGTGCTGTGGTGTGTGCGGCGCACTCCCGCGTGTGTGTACTGTGCATGATTTATGGTGCGATCTGTGCAATAATATAAGGTACGAACCGTTCAAATGAAAAATAAGTACCCATTGCGCACATAATCAGGATCGATTAAAATCCACCCAAAACAACAAAAAACAATGATTTTACATAACAATCGTTAAAATAGCATAATAATCTGTTTGTAATAATTTCTAATTATAATTATAATAGGTACCGCCTCCATCGGCTTGAAATTCCGGCCGGCGTCCGTAATCCCAACCATCGTAAAAACAAGCAGCGACAATGGATATACCCAAGTTCATGTAAATCAAAAATTCTCATATCAATCTATGCCATTTCTACATTTGCAATAACATATCTATATATATGGTAATTGCTTTTCGTGAGATAAGGCCTACAAACCATTTTGCCAGAATTCTCCACTTTTGTCTATCAAGAAGGAAATCACTCAGTTAAACTAATCACAGGCTATGTTAATAACTAGACGCAATGACATTGTCTTTCAATGAAGCATGTTAAAGCTACGTAAAAGTATAAAATCAATATTACCTGCAAACAAGGCTCGGTATATCTGGCACGCTGCAATCCTATGCATTAATTTGAGTCTCTAATGAAACCGTCAACAAACTAAAGGTTATATATTCGGTTCGTTTATATTTACATTATATAGTCCATATATAACAAAACCATAAGCTGCTCAGCAACGTCTAAACTTGTAACTATATATATCAATATTGTTTTATCAACATACTAACATATCTCAGCTATTTATCTCTATAATATATTTCTGCTATTCTAATCCGGGGACTAATAAAACATACGACATGGACATTACAATGATAAAACCACGTAATTTTGCCTTAATGTTCACTTGAATGTACAATGCCTTATGACTATGTCTTCCGTATATAGGCCTATAACTATGATATATACGAGGAGCGACAAAATACATCTGAATGGCAAAGTCCACTCTTATTTGTATTCTTTACATTAACAGAGATACGATATTAGCACTGCTAGCAATCACTTCAGATTTCCCTGCTTCACTCGGTCTTTTCGCAGAGTTATATTTGATCTGATATCATAATCCCCCCCCGCCCTGGCAAATAAACCGCATCAAGGCCTCCTGTTTTCTTCCCTCGTCAATAAGCCTTGGCAAAACGTTCGTGCGAAAGACGGTTTGCCCAATGCTCACGTCGCAACCATCCTCTGCGAGTTTGTTGTGTACACTTTAATTCCCCTCTTACGCTCAGCACGCCGCAAAACGCGTGTTGATTACCTCCTGACCGAATCAGAGATAGAAACGTCTAGCGGATCAAGAATCTAGCCGATCTTGAAAAATGCCCGCGAATCGCAATAAAAACGAAGGTCAATCGTTGCCCTGGATAAAATGTTGCCACTTAACGATTCCTGACGATTTTCCACACTATTAAGTATTAGCGGAGCCATGGACCGACAATAAGAAGAAAAACTTGTAATTTATCACTCCCTCCTCCAATTTATTAAAACCTACCCGTGTAATATCATCCTACATATCCTAACGAACGTAGGTATAGAAGTAGTATGGACAGTGGCGTATTAAGGGGGGGTGGCAAGGGGGCCATAGCCCCCCCTGTTGATCCAAAAGTTTTAAAAAAAAATGGAAAAATCACAAGAATTGTTCTACTAAAAAGATAATTGTCGTAGTCAAAATGAAGGCTGTGTACATGTACTCAAAAAATGCCTCAAATACATCTCCTGATCGTAACATCAAAATTTTCTGGGAGAGGTACCTCCCACCATACACTCGCCGCCGGTTTTCACCCCCTCCTCGTAACTCATGACCGACAACTATCCATAACAGTTACATTAATTTATCTTAGTGAGTCAGAACAACGATACACAAATGTCGCGTTGTTCATTGGCCCAAAACACAGATGTCAGAGCTTGAAAGGCGGTGGGCATAGTGTTTGGAAGAGGGAAGCGAGAACCATTATAAATATTAGGTCATTTCCACTATTTGCACAGTTCGCTGTTTTGCTCCGCTCTCTCCGTTAAAAAATCTTAGCCACGCCACTGGAGATCAGCGTGCGAAAATGATATTCCATATTGAGTGGATTTTTCTAAATTTTGCATATATTTCATTAAGTTTTCTGCCATTCAGCATACACGAATGTAAAATTACCTAGGAGTTTTTTGAAAGTTACTTTTGATGATGACGGAAACGTTCTTTGTGCGGATGGCGAGCCCATACCTCTAGAAGTAGTCACCAGGGTAAGTAAGATTATATACAGTCTAACAAGCTCATAATGACGGCGCAGGTAACTAAACTTGCTGCCAGGTATCTTGAAATAACGCACAGTCAGACTCGCGGCATTTTAAAACCAATCCTTGAAACATTGGAATTAATCTACTTTATCTCTATGTTCTCCGGCGGCCACCAAGCGCTCTTTGCGCCGCAAAACGTAGTGCGCCGTGGGATATGCAATTTTTTCTCTGTATTCACCCAAGTTTTGTTATCTTTGCCATTTTTCTCACGTCTATCACTGGTATATCCGTCGACGCCGTGTGGGGGAATGGGCTGCTGAGTCCGGAGGTCCAAGAGCCACTACGTTTCCGGTTCCGCGGTCCACCACGGAATGCCAGTTACTTCCTCTCCGGCCGTCCACGTTCTGATGGGTGTCCGCTTCACGTAATCAGCATCTGATCAAAGCTCTAACCAGTTTTCACGTTCGTCCAAGGTTTCTACCGATGACAACGGGGACGTGCCGGCGCTTTGGAGCACGTTTGTGCCCACGGTAATATAATAAAGAAGCCTTTCTCCAAGCAATAGCAATCATTGTAATCTCTGAATTTCGACGAACCAGAATCATGAAATGCCCATAATGAAAAAAATTTTTGTCTTACATGTATGTTGGCTGGTGCATTACATCCAATTCTTTGCGTCAGCAAGAACGAAGGCCAATCACATAGCTTTGCCTTCTTTTCCTTTCAAAGCTGTGCTTTCTCTCTTTCTACTTGTAAGATTGCGTAATTGTGTCAGATGAATCTCGAATGAACTCCCCTGCCTGGCCTGCGTTGATATACTCCCTCCCAACGCCGGCGTCGCCGTGTCAGATCGTAGTAAGATACGCAACCGCGCGTAGCGCGCCCCACCCGTAAACTTTCATCGCTTCCCGTTACACTACGGTAACCGCCACCGAAGTTTTTTACGGCCTATTACGTACTGTCACGTTTTGTTTGCGTTCACCCCCGTTTTACTGGGCCTACATAGCTCTGCATCCGCACCCGTGACTGCCAATGCAATCTTTTGACAGATTAAAAATCTGCGCAGCATCCACGCAATTACGCTGTCCACGTTGCTTCCACATTTCCCGTCCCCAACCGATTTTGTCTCACGTCCATAGTCCCGTTTGTCCACGGTGGCCTGAAACGGGCTGCCGTGGCCTGCCGGGTAACATAGTGTAAACGTAGCATAAGACACACAAAACACATATCCTTTAAATAATGATTCGCTCTTGGTTAATTATCACAGGTATATCCGTTTTGCGAACGTCATTGAACATTATTCTACGTCCAGTTCAGCTCCGGTCGGTCCTCCGTCGGCCGCGCCGAGCACGCCACTCCAGACCACCAACGGTTTTTCAACAAATCTCACCACAGCACCCAGCCAGCCAACCAAACCAAGCAACACCTCAGCTGAGTGAAGCCAGCCAACACACCACACCAACCAACCACAGCCAAATCAACAGAACCACCCAGCCAACCCAGTCCAGCCAACCAACGAATGCAACACCCAGTCCATCAAGCCAGCCAACCAGCCACCCAGCCAAAACTAAACACCTCAGCTCACCACCACACCTAACCAAAGCAACCAACCCAGCTCATTGCAAGCCAGCCAACCACCACCGCAGCCAACCAGCTAGTCAGCCAACCAACAACCAACCCCGCCCCCAGCCACACCAGCCATCCAGCCAATCGCAGTTCAGCCAACCAGCCCAAGCCAGCCAACCAGTCAGCCAACCAGCCAGCCAATCAGCCACCCAGCCAACCAGCTAGCCACCCACCCAACCAGCCAGCCACCCTGCCAACTAGCCACGTAGCCAGCCAAACGCATCAGCCACCAGCCAGCCAATCAGTCCACCCAGCCAACTCATTATTAACTACCACCCACTCCAACTAGCCAGGCCACTCCTGCAACTTCGTCACGTACCAGCCAACCATCAGCCAAACCAGTGCCACCAACTCAAAGCCACCTCGCAGCAACCACTTCAGCACCTCAAAACCAACCTCAGCCAGCCACCCTGCCAACTAGCCACGTAGTCCACCTAGCACACTAGTCCACCAATCACCAAAGCCACCAAGCCACCCAACCTGCCAGCGTGCCTGCCAGCCAACCAGCAAGCCTGCCAGCCAAATAGTCGGTCAGTCAGTCAGTCAGTCAGCGTCAGTCGGTCGGTCGGTCGTCGTCGCGTCGGTCGGTTGCGGTCGTCGGGTCGGGTGTCGGTCGTCGTTGGTCGTCGTCGTCGGTCGTTCGGTCGTTCGTCGTCGGTCGTCGGTCGGCTCGGTCGTCGGGTCGGTCGGTCTGTTCGGGTCGTCGTCGCGGTCGGTCGTGGTCGGTCGTCGTCGTCGTCGGTCCGGTCGTCGGTATCGCTCTGTCGTCGGTCGTCGTGTCGGATTCCGGCCGTTCGTCGTCGGTCGCTGCGTCGCGTCCGTCGTTCGTCGTCGGTCGGTCGTCTGGTCGGTCGGTCAGTCATAGTTAGCTGGTTGGTTAGTTAGTTTATTCCGTATGGGCTTTTATGCTGTAATATTATGCTGTACTTATAATTTACTGCTGTAATATTATGTAACATCGCTGGTCGCCGTGATGTTAATTTAGATGAGGAGATGATTGAAGCTCTGAAGCCATGGAAGGAGGAGGTTGTGAAAGCAGGCAAAGACCCAGTCGGCACAACTCTCGTCTATCTGGAAGGTCGCAGAGACGTCTGCCGCTTATACGTACGTGCAGCAGTAATTCCACGGCCATGATATCCGTCACACAAAGTCCTTATAGCTCCTATACGTGTATGACGTAGCAGTAATACCGCAGTTGTGTGTGTGTGTGTGTGTGTTGTGTGTGTGTGTTGTGTGTGTGTGTTGTGTGTATGATGTGTGTGTGGTGTGTGTGTGTGTGTGTTTTGTGTGTTGTGTGTGTGTCGTGGGGCGTGTGTTTAATGAAATGTGTGTGTGTGTGTGTGGTGTGTTGTGTGTCTGTTGGGTGGTGTGTGTCTGTGTGCGTTAGCTGTGTGTGTAATGAAAAGTGGTGTGTGTTTGTGTGTGTGTGTGTGTGTTGTGTGGTATGTGTGTGCTATGATGTGTGGATGTGGTTTGTGTGTGGCATGTGTGTGTGTTGTTTGTGTATGTGCGTGTTGCGTCTGTGGTTGTGTGTGTGTGGTGTGTGTGTGTGTTGTGTTATTTGTGTGTGTTGTGTGGTGTGTGTGTGTGTGAGTGTGGTTGTGTGTCGTGTGTTGGTGTGTGTGTGTGTTGTGTCGTGTGTGTTGTGTTGTTGGTGAGTGTTCGTGGCGTGCGTTGGACTGCGCACGTCCCTTATAGCAAAGTGCCAGTGCTCGCTGGTTTGATCATTGTAACGAAAGTTATACCGAACAACTGTGTCCTACATCATGTATATGGATTGAGGGTTGACAGACCTACCTCGGCGTCAACTCTGCCACTCCAAACTAGATTCTATTAATTATGCTGGAAGCTTATCAGCAACGACGGGCTTCATCATATACGATTACATAAGTAGTCTTTAACAAAGTCAATTCACACCTTTGAAGTTTTACTGCTGATATATCACCCTCGAATCTGAATTACTGTCAACGAATTAAGCGCAACATCGCAGCCGCGGAATGTTTTGTTGATGGTAGATCAAATTTCCAGTCAACGGGGCATGATTAGTACTTTACATCGACATCAATCCGTGCGCAGGAAATGTTAACTGCCTATCTAGCAGCAGACCTGGCGTCGAAGCGACGCTACCACTAACTTAACCATGCAGTAAGTTGAACGACGTCGCAATAGCATATGGAACGGAAGAGTCATTCAGATGCCTTCTATCAGACCGAGGTTAGAGAAGAAGGTGAGAGAGCTAAGCCAATTGTCATGCGCGCCTGTCCGCCCGCGCAACGCGTCCGCGAAAGTTGCCGCGGATCGAAACAATGTTTTCGCTAAGTCTCGCTCGCGACGCTAACTACTCTAGGGCAATTCTGCATATATTGTAGGGTATTTTGTCCATAGCGGGTTGCGTGTGTGCGCGCGCTGCGTGCGTGCGTCGCGTGCGTTGCGTGTGATGTGTGGCGTGTGTGTGTCCTGTGTGATGAGTGCGTGTGTGCGTGTGTGCGTGTTTGTGTATTTGTGTGCTTGCATCATGCGTGTTGTGCGGTTGTGTGTGCGGTGTGTTAGCGTGTTTGTGTTTGTTGTATGTTTGTGTAATTGTTGTTTGTCGTGTGTGTGTCGTGTGTGATGTGTGTGTTTGTGTGCATTGTGTGTATGTTGGTGTGTGTGTGTGTGATTGTGTTGTGCGCGTGTGCGCTCGTGTGCGCGTGTGCGCGTGCTGTAATGCGTGGCTGCGCTACATGTTGTATATGTGCGTTATTGTATATGTGTCGTGCGTGTGTTTGTGTTTTGGTGTTTGTGTGGTGTGTTTGTGTACGCGTGCGTTGCTTGTTGTGCGTGTGTTGTGCCTGTGTGTGCTTGTAATTGAATTATATGTGTGCTTGTGTTGTGTTGTTGTGTGTGTGTGTGTTGTGTGTGTGTTTGTGTTGTGTGCATGTGTGCGCGCGCCGCGTATTGGTGTGTGCGCGTTTGCGTGTGTGTGTGTGTGTGTGTGTGTGTGCGTTGTTTGTGTGTGGTGTGCATGTGTGCGCTGCAGTGCGAGTGGTGTGCGCGCAGCTCTTGTTATGCTTGGTTGGTTTAGTTGTGTTGTAGCTGGGGTTCGCCCTTACGATGATTCTTCGCACGGTCTCAAAATCTAACTAGTAGTAGTAGTGAAAGACTCGGTATCGAAACGATGACTATTTAATAATTTATTATAACTTTGCACGTAGTCTACTCGCGTGCAACGTACCACGTCTAAGTGCCCTTGTACATACAATAGTATTATAACGGCCTCGGAGTCGGTACATACAAAAGGATAATGATAGCCGAGCATTGAATTTCTACTACTCTTTTCCCAGGTCTTATGCGATTAGAGGATCTCTTAACAGCATTCCCGTTTGCGAATTATTTCATGATGACAGACATCAAAGGCGAGAACCATTTTTATGTTGTTATGAATCGTCTGTGAAAATCAATTCGGTTGCGGTAACCCGATAGCGGCCCGTGATAATGAGTAAAAGCGGAGGCGGCAAGGCCGGTCCTCCACCATGGATGAATTGGTGAGATACTCAAGCTGTTCTTGAAAGAGAACAGCCCTTCTATGGTGCCGCCGCCGCCACCAGGGCTTTGTTAAATACACTGAAATTCTATAGTTAAACACGCATTTGCTTCTCATGCAGTCGTTCGCGACACGAATTCTGTCTCGCTGTTCGTATCAATTAACCGTAATATAATGTGGACCATCTTACTATGTACGAGGCCAAATTAAAAACTTATAGTTCGACTATAAAAGCATTCAAGGCCGCATACCTCGCAATGCATGCATTTTAGATTTGTGATTGCTAACAAATCGCCACGGTAAACTGACTAGGTGATACACGTTGTCTCTCGCAGGTAGCACACTAATGAAAGTGCTCGAACACTCCGTGGGCATGTACAGCCTTACCGAAATGCCCGGCAGATTCCTTCAAGTCTCAGGTGCCTTTTTAATTAGCTAAATATGTATTTTTAATCAAGATTATATTAGAATACCGTAACTCATCAAAGATCGCCTACCGTATTATTTATGCGAGTCCATAAATATACCGCGCTAGAGAGACGAAAGGCGCATATATTCATACCTAATTAAGTCGAAGGAATCTTGTAATTTCTATAAACACATACCTCTTCTTACGCGTTCATTGCTTTGCACGCTTTTCCGTAGGTGCGTATTTGCGTTCGTGCGTGCGTGCGAGTGTGTGCGTATTTGCGTTCGTGCGTGCGCGCGCGAGTGTGTGCGTATTTGCGCGTCTGTCAGTATACGTGCGTGCACACCTGCATACGTGCGTATACATGTGTACGTGGCTGCGTTATATCGGCTTTATCGGACGGCCGGTATGGAAGAGCGTGTCTTCTCTTGTTCCGCGCTAAATCGCAGGTCTGCGTTTAGGTTTGAGGGTTGTCTATGATCTGCGGAAACCCAGCGGTTCGCGGGTGATAGACGTCCAGGCCACATGCACCGAATGTAGGATTCCAAAGTTCGAGCCGCTAGACACATCAAAGGTATAACTGACAAACACCGCCGAGAGATAGCTTATACACATCTCTATCGTCCTGCTGCTGTTGCTGCTGCTGCCACTACTACTACTACTACTACTATAGAGAGAGAGAGAGAGAGAGATAGATCGATATAAATATGGATTCAAATGGAATTATTTGTTTAACTTATATTATATTAACTTTCAGGAAATCTTATATTCCAAGATGTCATCGAATCCGTACAAAACGAGGCCAGGCGTTTAATTGCCGAGGAAGGTGTTAATAAGATTATTGCACTTGGTCATGGCGGTTTAGCTCTCGACATCGAAATGGCCGAGAAGGTTGAAGAAATAGATGTTATCGTTGGGGGACACACGCACACGTTTCTATGGACAGGTAAATCTATATTTAGTTGTACTATATAGTCTATCTATCTATCTATCTATATCTATCTATATCTATATATGTATATGCGTGTGTGTGTGTGTGTGTGTGTGTGCATGTGTGTGTGTGCGTGCGTGCGTGCTTGCGTGCGTGCGTGCGTCCGTGCGTGCGCGTATTGGTGTGTGTGTGTGTGTGTGTGTGTGTGTGTGTGTGTGTGTGTGTGTGTGTGTGTGTGTTGTGTGCATGTGTCCGTGTGTGTGCGCGTGTGGGTGCGCGTGCGTGTGGGTGTGTGCGCGCACTCCGGTGTGTGTACTGTGCATGAATGTATGGTGCGATCTGTGCAATAATAAGGTGACGACGCGTTAAAGAACAAATAAGACCCCATTGCACATAATCAGGAGCGATTAAAATCAAAAACAACAAAAGAACAATGATTTTACATAACAAATCGTTAAATAGCAGTAATAATTTGTTTGTATTAATTTCTAATATAATTATATAGGTACTCCTCCATCGGTTGAAATTCCGGCCGGGCCGTATCCAACCATCGTGAAAAACAGCGCGACGAATCGTGATATACCTATAGTTCAGGTAAAATGCAAAAATTTCATATCAATCTACCATTTCTACATTTGCATAACGATATTATAATATGGGTAAGTGTTTCTCGGTGAGTAGGCCCTACAACCAGTTTGCGAATTCTCCACTTTTGCTAAGGAAGAGGAAGATTCACCCAGTTAAACTAATACAGGTAGTTATATAGACCAATGAATGTGTGTTTTCATTGAGCATTTAAAGCTACGTAAGATAAAATTCAATTATACGCTGCAAACGAAGGCTGGTATACTGTGCACGGTCTGGCATCTATCGCATGAATTGAGTTCTACTAAAACCCAACAGAACCTAAAGGTTTATAAATTGGTTCGTTTATATTTACATTATATATCATATATAACAACCATGCTGCGCAGCAACTCTAAACCTTGTAACATATATACAATTATTGTTATGCAGATATAACATATCTGCAGCTATTTGATCTCTTATAATATGATTCGTGCTATCTATCGACTAATAAAAATACGACAGGACAGTTGACAATGAAAAACACGTAATTTTGCCTTAATGTTAAACTTGATGGTACAGAGCATTATGACTATGTTTCGTATATTAGGCTCTATACTATAATATAGGGAGCAAAATACATCTAATGCAGTCATTTATTTGGTATTGTTAAGCAGAGATTACGATATAGACTGATAGCAATCACTCAGATTCCCTGCTTCTCGTCTTTTGCAGAGTTATATTTGATCTTGATATCTAATCCCGCCTGGGCAATATAAACGCACAAGGCCGCCTGTTTTTCACCGTAGATAGCCGTGGCAAAACGTTGTGCGAAAACGGTTGCCAATGCTCACCGCACATCTCCGAGTGTTGTTTGGACACTTTAATTCCCTCTCTACGCTCAGCACGCCGAAAACGCGTGTTGATTACCCTCCTCGAATCAGAGATAGACGTCTAGCGTCGGATCAAGAATCAGCGGATCTTGACGAAAATGCCCGCGAATGCCTCAAGAACAACGAAGGTCAATCGTTGACGGAAATGTTCCTTGAACGATGCCGACGATGTTTCCACGAGCTGCACTCAATTGCGGTAGTTAGGGGCAGATGGAAGCGAAATAACGAACGAAGATTGCTAATTTGTCATTTTAATTATTAGCACTGTTTACCGGTTAAGCCTACTGCCGTACTACCCGCTAGAAGTAGGTAAGAAGTAGTATGGAGCAGTGGCGTAGTAAGGGGGGTGGGGCAAGGGGGGCCATAGCCCCCCCTGTTGATCCAAAAGTTTAAAAAAAAAATGGAAAAAAGAAGAATTGTTCTACTAAAAAGATAATTGTCGTAGTCAGAATGAAGGCTGTACATGTACTCAAAAATGCCTCAAATACCATCTCCTGCGATCTACATTTTCAAAATTTTCTGGGAGAGGTACCTCCCACCCATACCTCCCGCCGGTGTTTCAACCCCCTCCTCGTAATCATGGATCCGACACTCGATCAACAGTTACATAATTATCTAGGGAGTCGAGAACAACGAACACAAATGTCGCCTTGTTACATGGCGCCCAAAACAAAGATTGCAGAGCTGAGAGGCGGGGGAGCATAGTGTGTGGAGAGGGAAGCGGAGGAACCATTAAAATATTAGGTCATCCACTATTTTGCACAGTTCGCTGTTTTTGCCTCCCCTCTCCCGTTAAAAAATCTTAGCCACGCCACTGGTATGCAGCGTGCGAAATGATATCCCTATTGGGGATTTTTCTTAACATTTTGCATATATGTTCATTTAAGTTTTGTCTCCATTCAGGCATACACGAATGGAAAATACCTAGGAGTTTTGAAAGTTACTTTTGATGATGACGGAAACGTTCTTGTGGCGGATGGCGAGCCCATACCTCTAGACAGTAGTGTGCACCAGGGTAAGTAAGATTATATACAGTCTAACACTATAATGACGGCGCAGGGTAACTAAATGTCTGCCAGGTATTTGATAATAACGTCACAGCTCAGAGCTCGCCACGTTTTAAACCAAGCTTAACATTGGGAATTAATGCTACGTTTACTCTATGTTCCCGGCGGCCACGGCAGCCCCGTTTGCCCGAAACGTAGTGCGCCGTGGGATTATGGCAATTTTTTTCTCTGTATTCAAGTTTTGTTAGGTCTTGCCAAGTTTTCTCACGGTCTATCACGGTATACGTGACGGGCCGTGGGGGGGGGGGGTAGACCGCGGACCGAACCGTAGTGCGCCTTGGACCCTCCGGGACTCAGCAGCCCTTAACGGATGCCAGTACGTTCCCTCCCGGCCCGTCACGTTCTGATGGGGTCCCTCACGTTTCTCACGATCTGATCAAGGTCGGACACGTTTTCCACGTTCTGTCAAGGCTTTCTACGGATGAAACGTGGACGCCGGGCAGCTTTGGGGCCCGTTTGTGCCCACGGTATAGGAAGAAGGCCTTCCAAGCAATAGCAATCATTGTATCCTGAGATTTCGACGAGGCAACATCATGAATGCCCAAGAAGAAGAAGATTTTGTGTTTGCATGTTTGCTGGGTGCATACATCCAGTCTTTCCATCAGCAAGAAGAAGGCCAGCAGCAGTTTCAGAGAGGGAAGGCCAGAGTGTAGCAGTCATGCAGGAAGAAGGCGAAGAAGGCGGATGAGAAGGCCAAGATCCATGTGGGTGCGCGAATGGTTATCGGTAGACAGAAGGCAGCAGCTGGGCCATTACTCAACATTTTAGTTTTACTTTTAGTTTTAGTCCAGTTTTAGGACCGCGCGCGCCTTGTCAGCCCGTAGTAGAACGCAACGCGCCGTAGCGCGCCGGGCCGAACCCGTCCTGTCCCGTCCGCCCCTTCCCGTCCCACTACGGACCGCCTCGAAGTTTTGTTACGGCCTATTACGTGCTGTCACGTTTTGTTGCGTTCACCCCGTTTTACTACGGCCTACTACGTTTCTCATCCGCACCGTGACTGCCGTGGCAAATCTTTTAACAAATTAATAATTTGGCGCAGTATCCACGGTAATTACGGCCTGTCCCGTTTG